TCTCCTCCCCCAGCCTTTGCGTTGATTGCTTGTTACTTTGTATTGATGTGCTGTCTTGGCTCTTTTTATTGGTTGATCAGGAACCCAGGACATTATAGGAGGAAAAACATTTGAGCAGGAACCCAGGGCATTGTGGGAAGAAGCAATACCATGATGGGCCACATGTTATCTGACTTGGGTTATGTCTGCCATGTATCCTATGCATCTTCTGTGTTGAGGTTATAAAAAAAGACTGCTTTCCAGATGGGACCCTTGAGCTTGAGTCATTCACCCTACTGGTAGCCTGCTACCCCTTTCAGGCTGATGTGGTACAAAACTGAAATGGCCAATTCTTTTTTTTTTTTTTTTTTTGGGTCCGGTTGTGGGGCCTGAACTCTGGGCCTGGGCGCTGTCCCTCAGCTCTTCAGCTCAGGGCTAGCACTCTACCACTTGAGCCACAGTGCCACTTCCGGCTTTTTTCTTTCTGCTTATGTGGTGCTGAGGAATCGAACCCAGGGCCTCAGGCATGCAAGGCAAGCGCTCTACCACTGAGCCACCTTCCCAGCCCTGAAATGGCCAATTCTATGAAGACACCTGAAAGTAACCTCAGGTCCTTCCGGTGAACCTCCATCTATGACTGCAATCTAGAATCGTCCAGAGGCTTGCCTGCCACTTCACGAGAGGCCACAGGCCCTGACCAGATGTGTGGTCCACAACAAGAGGTGGTAAGTTGTTATTTTAAGGTTTGGGGCACCAGATCCCTAACATAGCTTAGGCTCAGTCAGCCAATCCATTTCCTTTCCTTCTCCCCCTCCACCTAGACATGGTGCTGGGAAGGGAATGTACATGTGACGAGGCTGGGCCAATCAGAGCAAACCATTGGACTTTTGTAGCAGCTGCTACTCTTTATCATGGGACACGATCTCAGGAAAGCAACAGGCCTTTGGCATCTGCAACTGTCTTGTTTCCATGAGGGAACTGTCTTCTTGGTCTTTATAAGAGAGCATCCACATTGTTTCTGGCTCAGAGTAGGAGCTCAATAGTTAACCAAATGAAATGTGTGTGTGTGTGTGTGTGTGTGTGTGTGTGTGAGTACGGGGGCTTAAACTCAGAGCCTGGGTGCTGTCCCTTAGATTATTTGCTCAGGACTGGCACTCTACCACTTGCGCCACTGATCCACTTGAGCCACTGATCCACTTTTTGGCATGTGTGCATGTGTGTGTGGTGAATTGGTGATAAACATCTAATGGACTTTCCTGACCAAAGCAGCTTTGAGCCACAATCCTCATATCTCCACCTTCTATTAGCTAGGATTATAGACATGAATCATTGGCACCCAGCCTGATAGATGGGGTTTTATCTAGCCAATAAGAAGATCAGAAAAAACTGGCACATATAACATGCTTTCTAAATGAGATATGTTGCCAAACATTATAGAAACCCATGTATCTTTGTTTTCTAAATGGGATGCGTAAATGCACACTTTCTCCTTTAAGTTGGCTCCAGCCAATTTTAACTGGCAGAGTTTCCAAAATTCTCTGATGATGAGGTAGGATCGATGGGTTGGCTGTGTCTGTACGATTGTTCCATTTCCCAGAGCTCTTGCAGAAAGGGGAGATGAATAGACCCTGCGTCATAGTGTGCTGAGTGTGACTGGTTTGCTCTTTTCTGCTACCTACTGGCCCCAGCACCTCCAGAAGCATGTGCCCCAGATTGCAATACTACATGTCTGGGAAAGGAAACAGAAGTGTGACTTCATTCAGAGAGGAAGATGCAGTGCTGAGCTGCTGTGCTCTGAGTTGAGATGTTGGATTCCTTGCCACACCTGCAGCCTTTACAAGCAACCTCCCTTGTTTTCCCTTGGGCCTTCCAGGACAAATATGGCTGTTAAGGAAAGGGCATACACATTTGTTTTTATTTCCTTTGCAGATGCTGAGCTAAATTAGGATAAAATAGCACAAGGTAAGTATATGTGTTTTACAAATGTATTTTACAAACATACCAAAGGTGTTTTTTGTTTTTGTTTTTTCTCTCTCTGTACTGGTGCCAGCTTCCTTGGAATGAAAGTTTTGTGATATATTTTGTGGACTTGCTTTTTGAGTTTGCTTTTTTGTTGTTGCTGTTTCCAATACCGGGGCTTGAAATCAGGGTCTCGTCATCTCACGTGGCTTTGTGTTTTTGCTTATGGTGGGTGCTCTACCATTTGAATCGCACATCCAGTCCAGCTTTTTTTGTTTTGCTAGTTAACTGGAAATAGAGTCTTGTAAAATTTTTGCCTAGACTGACTTTGAATCACAAAACTCCTGAGTAGCTAGGATTGCAGGAGTGAGCTACCAGCTCCTAGTACATTGTATATGAACCACATTGACTGACAGATGTGCAGACAACCAGGTTATAGGCACAGAAAAAAATATTAAGGTCATCAGTCTTGTGGCTTGTTGATGGTAAAGTCTCAAGTTCAAGCAGCTACAGCAATCAAGGGGGCTTAATACAATTCCAGGTGGTGAAGACTGGTAAAATGAGAACACAAACTGCTTTGTGTGTGTATGCATGCACATCTGTGTGCGTGCCTACACTGGGGCCTGAACACTAGGCCTTGTTCTCTGGTTGGTTTTTCCATTCAAAGCTGGTGCTGTACCGTGTGAGCCATACCTCCAATTCTGAATTTTTTGCTGGTTAATTGGAGATAAGAATCTCATGGACATTTTTTTTTTTGTCCAGGCTGACATTGAACCACAGTCCTCAAATCCCCGCCTCCTGGATAGCTAGGATTACAGGCATAATCCACCAGTGCCTGGCAACACAGTGTTGTTCTGTTAAATTATTTCCACATGGAAATACAGGCACAAAAAGTCTCCTGACTTTGTCCAAAAAAATAGAAAGTCCAAAATTCATATTAACTGTCTCCATCTTTAAAAATAGATAAATAATTATTTCCATTAGATCAAATTCTATGTGGCTGAAAAGAAAATCATCTTCTGGCAACCTCAACCTGTGGATACCCAGTTTGTGACCTCTGGACCAGAGACATTTAAGAAACTGGCATGTGCTGGATGTGGTGGTTCACACTTGTAATCCTAGTTACTTAGGAGGTCGAGAGCTGAGGATCACAGTTTAAAGCCAGACCAGGCAGGCAAGTCTGTGTCTCTTATCTCCAATGAATCACTAAAAAGCTAAACAGTAGGGGTATGGCTCAAGTGGTAAAGTGTTAGCCTTACACACAAAAGCTCTAGGACAGTGTCCAGGCCCTGAGTTCAAGCCTCAGGATTGACATAAAACAAAACCAAACAAATAAAAAAAAACCAGACATGGGAACAAGAGAGCTTGCATATATTAATTCAGTTTAATCATAACAATTCTTAAACAAAAAAAAAGAAGTTCCTCCAAGAGACAATAGTTCACAGTAACTGCAATGCTTACTCACAACTTTTAAAAATACCAATCATGCTTGGTTTAGCATTCAAAGAAGGTATTAGAGAATAAATGTAAAAACTTTGACCAGGAACATCAGCTTGACTTGAAAAATTACAAATACTGAAGCAGTTTGGTATCAGACACAGTACTTTTGATATTGTCTGCTCATTTGATGAGTTTCTGGCAGTCTGGGGGGAAAATGGACCTCTATCATCAGATAATGCGCTTAATTCTAAACTAAACATTTTTTTTTTCAAATGTAGAAAACAGCTAGCAAGCTACACGTACAAAGAAAAAGCCCTCTAAAGACAAGCTCTCCATGTATTGAAATGCCAGCGTGTGCACCATGAATCCTGGAAGACTAGAATGGAGACATATACTGGGGCCTGCAGTCTTCCCCAACCCCCACCCACCCCCAGGCTCAGCAATGGAGTTTGCAGTCACCTACACATTAATGACAAACTCTGGGTTAGTGTAAGAAAAGCCAGCAAATTCATTTTGGTCCAGGTTCATGATGAAGAGTTTATCAGTGGGAGTCAGCTCCACAGGCTGCCTGGTGAACTCTTTGTCGAAGTTGGAGGTGTCTCGCCTGTCTCTCTGCCAAATGGAAAGCAAACACATTAACACGGCATAAGAAGAGGGAAAGAGAGGACTGAGCCACGCCGGTGATGGGAAGGCCGGTGCCATCTTAGGAGCAGATTCAGCAAGAGCCTTCTGCTTGACCGTCTTTCAACAGCTGCATGAGCTAGCTTTCCTTTCACATCATGGGTTGGATGCGGGGATGGAAAACTTGATGGGGGGAATGTTCAAGGAAGAGGAAAGAATTCAGCAAGTTTCTTTAAGGAGGGCCAGAAGGTGGCACCTGGTTACGTTTTGACTTGGAGATGGAGTGCTAACTACTTAGGATGCTAATTTCATACAAGTAGCTGATTGGCTAGAATGTCCTTGGAGGGAAAAAAGAAGGGGAAAAAAAACCACCACTCAATAGCTCCTCCTAGAGGCCCGGAGGCCTCCTTCTTTGCCAAGGGAGAACTGTTGACTGTTCTGGCTCCCAGAAGGCAGCATGGCAGGGCAGGGAAATCAGAACAGTGTTGGACCATCTCTGCCATTGATCTTCTTACTCACTAGGCTTTGAAGGGCTGCTCATGAGCCCAGCCACAAACTAGCCAGAAGTTCTCCCAAAGATGTAGCTAGTCAACACATTCCAAGAATCAAAACCCAAAGCTTAAAGTCTCCCAGGGAAGCCTTAAAAAATAGTCCTATTCTCCTAGTTCATTCGTTCCTTCCTTTTTTCCCTTTCTTCTTCCCTCCTTCCCTCCATCCCTTCTTCCTTATTTCCATTTTCTTTTAGTGTATGGACTAGCAGCCATTAACTTTAGTAACTATGACTCGAGGCAAGTTTCACCAGGGAAGGCAAACAGCTCTGTGTGATATCCTGACCTCCCCAATCCATCCTCTCCCCCCATCCATGCCTCATCTACCTGGAGGGCAGGTAATAGATGAAATTCTTTTCCTTATTGGCTCTTTGAAAAGGCTGAAGCACTGTTAAGTAAAGAGACTTGCCCAAGATTGCACAGTGGGTTGGTGATTTTTTTTTTTTTTTTGGTACCTGACCACATCACTGTTACGTTTGCTCATCCCAACTCCTCTGGCTGAGGGCAGTTCTACTGTAGAACAATCAAGAGTAGAGCCTGAGATTCACTTGCACCAGACAGAAGGCCTGGCTGAGCTAAGTCAGAGGAGAGAGGGTTGGGGCTGTGAGGGCTAGCTGACTCAGTTTGTCCAATATCATGGGGTTTCATAAACCCATGCATAGGTTAAATCCCTAGCAGCTTGATAAGGATTTCTCATTGTTGGGTTCACAAAGGCTTCTTTTCTGTCAGGCATAATATCTGTCTGGAGTTTCCCCATTTCCTACTGGGGTGTCTGTGCGGCAGAGGGGGACAAAGCTGCCACCAAGAGGATCCTTGGGTGAGCAGGGCCAGAGAGGAACAGGTTGAAGATGCTGATGAAGCTTGTGGTAGATGTGGATGATTCTGCTCAGGCTGTGCGGTGTGAAGTCCATACCCAGACATCCACAGGAAAAACTCCTTTAATCTGGACTGTGCATCCCTCTCTGTATCCCACAAGTCATATGTCGGTCTGTGTGTGTGTGTGTGTGTGTGTGTAATGGGGCTTGAACTCAGGGCCATGTGCTCTTGCTTGGCCTTTTTACTCAAGACTGATTGTTCTACCACTTAAGCCAATCCTCCATTGTGGCATTGTGGCATTTTACTGGTTTGTTGGAGATAAGAGTCTCAGGGGTTTTTCTGCCTGGGCTGACTTTGAATTTTGATCCTCTGATCTCAGTTTCCTGAGTTACTGGAATGACAACCGCAAACCATCAGGCACGTGGCGCTACATTGCACCTACTGCTTTATGAATTGTTTCTCTCCAGGAGAGCAGAGTCCCTGTCCATTTCTTAACCGTTGTTTTTCTAGTGCCGAGAATAGAACCTGGCACAGAGCAGATTGTAACTCCTTGTTGAATGAATGAATGAATGAATGAATGAATCAATCAATCAATGAGTCAATCAATCAATATGGAGAGAGGGAACTGATTTTACAGCTTGGGTCTTAGCTTTGTCCCCAAGCCAGGGACCTTACTCTGCATTAAAATAATGGAATGTTTTACTATCAGTCTTAAGGGTCTCTCCACTGATCATTGTCTAGTTAGAACCCCAGTGTGAATGCACTGTATGAGGCGTTTTGAAGGTGCGGGTGCCCCAGGGTTATGTCTGGGACCAAGAACCATTTAGGTGGTCTCTGGTATCACTGGTCCCACCTGTCATCTCTACCTGAAGGCTTGCTGCAGAAGTTGTGGGATTTCAGAGTCCTTCTCACTGGTGGCAATGGCTTGGGTGTCAGGCAGCCCCACACGGCCTCAATAGGATTTATCTCTGTAGACCCTGTCCTATGAGAAGATCTGGAGAAATGTCACTGAATTTCACCCTACACCTTGAGAGAGAATGGTCCTGTCTACTGTGATAATGTCTTTGGGGTCGGTATTCGGGAAAGCCAGTGAGCACAGCAGCATTTGCCCAAGGAAGATTCTGGACACCACTGGTCTCCTGTTTGTCCTCTGTGAAGATGGTCCTGGCCTTTGGTAACAGATGGCAGGGTCAATAAGAAGGCAAAAGAAGTATTCTTGGACCATTTCTTGGCAGACAGTTAGCCATAGCCAACAAGGCCTTTGTTGAGATTTCTTTGCATTTTCTTATCTTATTTCTGTCTCAATTTCTTATTTCATTGTTGTCTTTTTTTTCCCACTTCACTCCTAATTTAAATTCTTTTGGAACATTTCAGCCTAGCTTAGATGGAGTAGAAGAAGCAGGCTGTGTCCAGCTGGAGGAGGGAAGCAGGAAAAGGGCATCACTTTGGAAGGGGGGTGATGTCTCCCCTAAAGGCCCCGCTGGGGTTCTGCTGCCTGCAGAACTCTTGAGCGACAGTGATAACTGCACAGAGTGAGACTCAAGACTCAGACCCCAGCTGTAAGGCCAGTTTCCCTTCTTCATATAGAGGCAATCTGGGTGACCTCTGGCTGAGATCTTGGGGATTCTATGGTCTGTTCAAGCATGGAGGTGGATGTCTTTGGGCTTCTAGAAGGGACTGATCCACCTATTTCCAAGGCTAGCTTTTCTTCTTCCCTGTCCATCACGTATATGACCATCCTTGAAATCCAGGTCAAGCGGGATATTGCTATACCTCCTCCAAGAGCCTCAAAGTCTTTTGACAGGGTTTTGTTTTGTTTTTGTGTTTATCCTTCTAAGAAGCTATTCCCGACTAGCTGGGAAGACCAGATATGTCTAGAACCCTTCACGCACGGAAGCACTGGTTGAGGGAGTGCCATCCCAACAGGCTTTGCGAGGGGAGACAGGCAGAGGCTGGATTGCAGTCTTATTATCTCCCACTTCACCCTTGCCTCCTAGCCTGGCACCTGGTTGGTGCTTAAAAAATGCTAGTTGAATGAAAGGAGGGGAGAGAATGAGTGGATGATTGCAAAAATAAATTTTTTTTGCCTTCCTACAAATTTATCCTTTGCAAAGGATTTCCCCAGAGATTACTTGCTGGAAATTCTGCTTCCTAGTTTCCTCTGCCCTGGAATGGTGATAGAAAAATGGAACCGTGGATAGTCTAATCCAGGATTCCTTCCTTCCTTCTTTCCATAGTAGGCTTCCCTGACCAGCTCTCAGGAGGGATGGTAGAGGAACATAGACTGTGGTTTCAATATCTACTTCTGCATACTCTGAGACTTGAACAATAATGGCAAGAATCTGTGAAGTGTAGAGTATAATATATTTTATCTATCTATCTATCTATCTTCATAATCATCATCTACCTATCCATCAATCCATCCATCCTTCCACTCTCCGTTGTTTTCTAACTTTGTTTCAGATCATCTTGACCCAATGTTGATCCTGAGCATGTATCCAAGGCCTGTTGAAAGGCCTCAAATGACTTGCCTAATGGTGAACGTGATTCAAAGATACATGTGTGGTGACACAGCCCTGCCACCTGAGGTCAGGACACCTGAGCTTTGATCCCAGCTCGCCATCTTGGGTAGGTTCTTTCCTTTCTCCAGATGCCTGCAACACCCCACCCCTTCCCCTACCGTGGGAGTGGCTTGCCCTCATTTCCTTCCTTCTCTGACTAAGGCTTGTCTGCTGGGACTTCAGGTTCCGTTCACATTAGGTCCAGATTACTAACACAAAGGCAGCGGGAGTGACAGCCCCCAAGCCCAAAGCGAGGTGACAGCAGAGGGTAGAGAAGAATGAACCGTGAGCCATTCAGTCTAAGCAGAAACCCACGGTGGTCTCTCTTCTGGAGGAGAAGCATCCCGATCAAGGACGTGGTAACGTTCTGAAAGGTCCCTTGCTGATTTCTCAGAAACCAGAAGCTTCTGGAAATCTCTTGACCTGTGGTAAGAATTCCCTCTAGGGCCTCTTGCAAATAGCAGGGAGTGGTAGTTCCCCCCCACCCCCCTCCCCATCCACTCAGATGGAAATGAGTTAATTCTCTTCCACCCTAAGGGATTTCCTTGGGCTTCTGGGCAATCACAGAGCTTCTTGCTAAAAAGAATATTTCATCCAAGCTGCCGGGGGAGTGGTGATTTTGATGAGAAGAGTGAGAGCCCCAGCTAGGAACCTCTAAGGCCTCTAAAGTTGAATCTCACAGAACTATAGGCTTTGAGCTCTGGCCAGGGCACCTATTCCACCCATTTCAAGTCACCAAGAGTCCCTACATGGGTCCTAGCAAGTGTTCTCTAACTGGCTGCAAAGCAGGATTCCATTTAAGTTCTGAATTTCTTTTCTTTCTCCTGAGTTCCTTCTTCAGGCCCTACTTTGTAGTTTGGATCCACAGTAGTTTTCCTTGAAATAATATTTCTTCTTTTTGTCTGTTATATTATTATTATTATTATTGTATCTTGATGCTAGAAGAAAAAGGGCACATGATAGATATCCAAATACAAATAAACATTTCTACAAACATCTTCAAAAACAACATCAAAGTGAAGAAACATGATTGCCTTTGCTTCAAGAGATTCTGTCAGTCTTGGAAGGATTTAATGAGCTCTGCAAAGCCAGCATGAGACCTAGAGAAAGTCCCCTTTCCTGCAGCCTGAGTGTGCTGGCCCCTACGGCCATCTTCTTGGGGGTGGGGGGAAGGGGAGAGGGAATCAAAGCAGTTTACTGTGGTTAATAACATTTGGACATTGATTTTTTTAAGCATGTGTAACAAACCGAGTAACTTTTTTTTTTTTGTGGCATTTGAACAACAACAAAAAGAATAATCCCAAAGCAAATAAAGTTTGAAATGAGTAAATGTAAAACAATAGCCCGTTAGGACCTTGCTAGAGTGACCAGTTTGCTTCAGAGGAAGAGTACCAAATGCCCTTTCCCTGTAGTTTAGGGACAAGGAGATCGGGGTCATAAATTATCAGGAATAATAGCATGGAATGTATGCCCAAGCTGTTTTTTTTTCCTCTGACCCATGATAGCGCTTTTAATTTAGAACTGTCCAGAAAGCACCCTCTTGAATTTTTTCGAAGGACTTAGATAAGCTTTGTCAGTTCGAGTTGAAAAAGAAGGGGAAAAAAATATTTTTAGCATGTTCTTTTCAAAGCTCCAGAACAGACAGTGTGGAGGAATTCCCTTCAGGGCAAAGAACCATAGATTTGGACCCAGCCCAAACTCCAAGCTTAGAAGCAGAAGGGTACTGAAAGCATCCGATTCATCGCTCTTATCTTGTAAGGATGGATCTGGATGGGATGGTAGGGGTGAGGGGGGCAGTGCAGACATGAGGGAGGGAAAGCAAGCATTTTCCTCTTCCCACTGGGTCCGCAGAGCTGACATGCTGGGGGGTGGAGAGGAGGGTGGTCCTCGATTATGCAGCTGACATTTTCTACTGGCCATTTGCATAATTCCATCTCGTAGAGATGCTCCAAACTACCTGAAAGACATTTGGGTTCTGAAACATTGGTCACTCTGGTCTCATCAGAAAACAAAATATGGATGTGATCTGGTAATGAAACCAACAAAACGAAATAAAACGAACAAACAGAAACAAAATAAAGGTCACCACAATAGCCAGTTGAGCTTGCATGACAGGAAATGAAGGACGGAGGTCTATACATCTACTTAGCTCTTGACTTCAGGTTTTAAAAATTCAGAGTTAACAAAGGAAAATCCTTCGAATTCTGATTGGTCAATATTCCTGATGACTTCCTGGTCAGGAGGTGTTAGGACGGGTGGATGGCGGGTGAAAAACCGGTCGAAGTTTTCAGCATTTCGCCCACACTATGAGAGGGGAAGAAAAGAGCTTGTGGTGGGTGGAAAAAAAAAAAAAGAAAAAGAAAAACCCCCAAACAAAACCCAAATCCAAACAAAACAGAACCAAATAAAACTGGGTGTGGCTTTTTCTCCAATCCCTTCCCTTTCAGAAACGCAGCGAGATTGTTGCAGTGATTCGAAATGAGAGCAACAGAAAATGCCAAAATCTCATGACTTCCGGTCCATGACCCTGACTTCCCAGAGCTTTCCTGGGTTGTAGTTCATGAGTCAGCTCTGGTTTCCTTCTGGGTGGTTCCAGAAATGGATGGCCAAAGCATGAGATGACGGGGCTCGTGACACGTGGCATGTCTCCCCTCCCCCCTCCTGCCCCCACTACCCCATCTCGAAGATCAGCGGAGCTCATCTGTTGGAAAACGTAGGATTAAGGTACCTGAAATGCTTCCTGTGGTGTAAGATGTAAACTGATGACCCATTTATATACATCACCTGGGAGATCCCAATATTTATTTGGAGCAGATTCCTGACAGTGCCATCCTTTGACTCTCGGTCAGGAACAATAGGTGTTTCAGCTCAAATTCCTGTCAGTAGAGGCAGATCTCAACCCTGAGATTGGGCATGGTGCCTGCTGCCCCTGGGCACCACAGGCCCTGCTCAACCCGGTCATTGGCCCTCAGTTACAAGGAGAGGAACTCAGTCATCTTTTCTCCAAGTAGGACAAAACAGTACAGAAGGAAGTGACAACCAGAACCTTGGTGAGGCCATTAGGCTGGGGAAAGGAGACCACAACCCTCTGTCACCCACTCCACTGGTCCCTCCACTTGAAAAGGCACCGCTCAGAAGCAGAGTTCTTACCCATGTGTTGGCATGAAGGTGCACACGCACGTGCATGCTGATTTCCCATCATCTAACACATCACTAAGGAGGGAAGTCATTTGCACAAAAGCACCTATGGGTGCTAGCGACGGCCCAGTGACACAACAGAGGCACCCACAGCCGTAGTAATGACAGCTAGTCCTCTGTGCATTTGCTATATCCAGGCACCTGACAAAGCCATTTACTTGCAAGATGCTCTCGAATCCTCCTGGAGACTCTACGAAGTGAGGAACTATCATTCCCATTTTTTTTTCTTTCTTTTCTTTCTCTTTATTTTTTGTTGGCTGTGGGGTTTGAGCTCTGGGCCTGGGTGCTATCCTTCAGCTCTTCAGCTCAAGGCGAGCACTCTACCACTTGAGCCACAGAGCCACTTCTGGTTTTCTGAGTGGTTCATTGGAGATAAGAGTCTCATGGACTTTCCTTACCTGGGCTGGCTTTGAACCATGACCCTCAGATCTCAGCCTCCTGAGTAGCTAGGATTACAGGCATGAGCCACTGGTTCTTGGCTGTGTAATTCTTTTAAAGAGACTAAGTCAAAGCCCAATAAAATATGTAACAGGGAATGGGTACTTGCAAGAGGAGAGGGTTGGGGCCAACCAGGGAGGGGTAGAAGAATGAAGCAGGGAAGTGGGGTGGGGGCAGAGAATGCAGGCAAGAGTTCGTTGTATATACCACAGAATTGAGAAATATAAGGGAAGGGATGGATGGTGGTGAAGATTTTTAAGTGATGACACAGATCAAGGTGCATTGTACACATAAATTGCTTTGTTAAATGGCAAAAAAAAAAAATCCCTCAATACATAACCTAAAATTAAGAAGAGTGAGGGAAGGGGGAAAGCGTGGGTGAGAATGTTGAAAGGGTAACACTGATCATAAATTGCTTTGGTGAATGGTAACTCCTTTGTACAACTACTTAAAGACAATAAAAATATTTTTTTTAAGATTTGCTTGGAATTGAGGTATATTTTGCATGTAGAGTTAGCCACATTTGTTGATGGGCCAGATGTGGGGGCTGAGAGGAAGGGAGGAGACAGGCCCCAGACTCTGAGGGACTGGCTGGAGCCAAAGTCACAGGTAGGCCCGCCATCCTACAGCTGAGATGGGGGGGGGGGAAGGAGGGAAGATGAACAGCAAACTGGAGGACACCCGGATGTCAGGTGAGAGACAGGTGCGGTGATCCATCACCGCATCAGATTGGGACCTGGTTGTGGTAGGAAGTGGGGAGCCAAGGGGACAGAGCTGGGAGGAGGCAAGATGGTAGGGGGCACAAGGGCATGGGTTCTCTGTTAATGAGCAGCTTTGCCTGGCTGGCAGATCACAGACTCTGTCAAGTGTTTCATTGTTTTTCAAATGGAGCTGCCATTGTCCATTAGTTTCAGAAGCTGCTTCCTACATGGAGATGCCAGCTCTGGGAAGTTCAGCGGGGATCTATCCTGAGCTCATCTGCTGTGTCCTGTCAGGACAGCCTGGTGGCTTAGGAGCTGATGTACACACTCAGTGTGCACCATATCCGACCATCTTGGGTGAACACATCAGCCTCATCTAGCTACTGAAAGAAAATTCAAACCCCCTTCTAATGGGAACCACCAATGGGGGCCTCTGGAAGAGGGGTGGGGCCAGAAGCCAAGGGTACTTAAACAAAAGTCACCTCCCCAAGGCTGGAGAAAGAGGGAATTAAGAGTTTGCTTGTGGGGGCTGGGAAGGTGGCTCAGTGGTAGAGCGCTTGCCTTGCATGCCTGAGGCCCTGGGTTCGATTCCTCAGCACCACATAAGCAAAAAGAAAAAAAGCCGGAAGTGGCACTGTGGCTCAAGTAGTAGAGCACTAGTCTTGAGCTGAAGAGCTGAGGGACAGCACCCAGGCCCAGAGTTCAGGCCCCAGTACTGGACCCAAAAAAAAAAAAAAAAAAAAAAAAAAAGAGTTTGCTTGTGGAACTGCTCTCCTGAATCCAAGAACCTAGACAGAAAAAAACCTAACCTGTGAGCTCTATTCTCCTTCTTTTCCTTTTATTTTCTGTGTTGTTGTGTTATTAACAGCTCTGGGGCTGAGGTGTAGCTCAGAGGTGGGATGTGGGCTTGGAACGTGTGAGTCCCCAACAACACAAAAACACACAGAAACAAATAAACAAATGTGGAGTTTTCTAGCTGACTCCAGCCACAGGGAGGTTAAAATACAAACAAACAAAAAACATGCCAGGACAGACACCAGTGGTTCGTGCCTTTAATCTTAACTATCTTAACAGATAGTTAACAGACCTTAACAGATTTCAGGAGGCTGAGATCTGTAGAATGGCTGTTTGAGGACTCTGGGGGCAGAAAAGTCTCCAAGATACCATCTCCAATTGACCAGCCAAAAGCTAAGCTAGAGGTGTGACTTAAGTGGTAGAGCACCATCCATGAGCAAGCAGGTAGGTACAAGGCACTGAGATAAAGCCCTGCTACCAGCTAAATAAGTAAATAAAACAAAATAAATGAATAAATGAATGTATAGATCCATTCTTGGAGCTGGCATATATCATCCTCACTATTGAGGATTATAATCCAAGCCCCAATGAAACCAGGGCAAATACTAACTCCTATATATACTATGGGGTTTTTTTGGTTTCTATATATGCATACTAAAAAAGTATACGTTTATAAGATGTAATTCATAATTTAGGCCCAGCAAGAGACTGACAATAATAAGTAATGATAAAACAGAATACTGTTTCCAAAGTGATTTAGAATTTCTGAATTGTTATTTTTCTTTTTTTTCTTTTTTTGGTGCCAGTCCTAAGATTTGAACTCAGGGCAGGGCACTATCCCTGTGCATTTTTGTTCAAGGCTCTATCACTCGAGCTCCACGTGCAGCTTTTGTTGGGGATTACTTGGAGATAAGAGTCTTACATACTTTCCTGCCCAGCCTGTCTCTGAACTGTAGTCCTTAGATCTCAGCCTCCCAAATAGCTAGGATTACAGGCTTGAGCCACTGGTGCCCAGCTCTGAAGTATTTCTTTCTGGAACTTTCCATTTACTATTTTTGGACCAGGGTTATTAACAACAGGTAATTGATACAGTGGGCAGGGAAACCCACAGATAAAACAGAGACCACTGGATGACATTGCCCTGCTTCTAACCCTCACTGACTCTTCCTTGCCCGCAGCCCATACTCTGAAAAGTGGCTTCTAGGACTCTTTAGGACTTGGCTCTGGTCATCTGGTCATGACTCTCACTGCCTAGTGATGGAGAGTACACCTTCCAGCTGGCAGGAAGTACTTCCGGTTCCTAGTTCAAGCTGCAACTGTCAGCCTTCTCCTCTGCCAAGAACACATGGCTCCCACTTGTTCCCCAATCCCACTGTCTCCTGTCCATCCTTTCTGTCCTCTGGACTCACTGATCCCTTCTCTGCATGCCTGAATATGTCCATCAGGATACAGGAAGCTCATCAGAGGGGAGAGAGAGAGAGAGAGACAGAGAGAGAGATAGAGAGACAGAGACAGACACACAGAGAGACAGAGACACAGAGAGAGAGACAGAGAGACAGAGACAGGGAGACAGAGAGAATTGGAATCATCCATCAACCAAAAAGGAGAATAGTTAAGTAATGATATATCTATTTGATACATTACCAAGTAAAACTGAAAAATTAAAAGATGTAGGAAATATCAAATAGCATAGTTATATATAATCATGAATAGTATATATAATATGTTCCTATTCTATAAATTATATAGAAAAATGGGCATTAGATATTCAAATACTTATGAACGCTGTGGGTGGCTAGGGAAGGTATAGGTTTTCTTTAAACTTCCTTCTTTACCTTGGATGTTTGATCTTATCTTTGAAATCTGAAATATCAGGAATTGCTAAGCCTGGAACTAGCAGCTCACACCTGTAATCCTAGCTATTCAGGAGGCTGAGATCTGAGGATCGCAGTTCAAACCCAGCTTGAGCGGAAAAGTCTATGAGACTTTTATCTCTAGTTAGCAAAAAGGCAGAATTGGAGGTGTAGTTCAAGTGGTAGGGCATCAGCCTTAGGCAAAAAAAAAACCCTAAGGACAGTGCACAGATCCTGAGTTCAAGCCCCAGTACAAATGCAAAAAATAAAAAGTAAAAAGAATTGTTACTATTATTTTATAATAAGAAAAGAATCTCTA